GCCGCATCCGCGAGTGGTGCCAGCAGCAGGTGCCCTACGTGTGCCCGGACTACCAGTCCTACTTCCGGACCATCGAGGAGCTCCAGCAGAAGGTGAGGGCCTTGCTGACTTCTTCTCCGTCTGTGGCTGAGAACTCGTGTTTCTTGCTTCTAGGCTGCCATGGCTCTTGCTGCCCCCTTCTTTCAAAATGGCCTTGAAAGGCATTTGGCAGACACGGGGGCGTTCCTATTTATTTTCTATTGTCACTAAGCAACCTCTCCTTCCCCAGATCCTGTGCACCAAGGCCGAGAACGCCCGGCTGGTGGTGCAGATTGACAATGCCAAGTTGGCGGCGGATGACTTCAGAACCAAGTGAGTTGCTCAGAATTAGCACTGGCGACCACGCCTGGGTCCTCAATCTCTGTCAAAGAGCAGGCGTTTCGGCATTGCTGGTGAACATCAATAATCCATCCATTGTGAAGACTTCTGCAGAGGGTTGTGGGGGGGCATGGGGCATGCAAAGGAATGCCCCCAAGAGATGGAGATTCCAATCAATCTGTTTCTTTTGGCGGTCAATATTGGGTCTCTTGACTTGCTGCATCTACTCATTGGGAAAAGTGAGAAGGCAAGACAAATAGGACGATCCAAGATTTTTCCTATGGACCTTGGGGGCCTGCTAGTCACTGCTCTGACTCTGTCCCTGTGCAGGTACGAGACGGAGCTGTCCCTGCGGCAGCTGGTGGAGGCCGACATCAACAGCCTGCGCAGGATCCTGGACGAGCTGACCCTGTGCAAGTCCGACCTGGAGGCGCAGGTGGAGTCCCTGAAGGAGGAGCTGCTGTGTCTCAAGAGGAACCATGAGGAGGTGAGCCCCGGTCTGAGAGAAATAAAGCAATCTGAGTCAGTGTCAGGCTGAGGGCGGCATTAGGGATTGGGAATGGTAGATCCAGGGTTGCTAGACTGGGGGGTCGATGTATCAATTTCCTTGAAAAATACTAAAACACGAAGACCAAAAATCCAAACAATCCCAGACAATTCAAGAGATGAACCTTATCCCTGATCCCAGATAGACTGCACCTGTGGGTCTCTCAGAGCACCTCCATCTGCTTTGGGCTGGCCATAGAGTTTCCACGTGAATCTCAGCGCTGCTGCATCAGAGCTATGCCAAGTCACGTCCCCTCTCCAGAGGCCAAAGCGGCCAGCTCGATGCATCTGAGTCTTCGTGAAAAGTCACCCAGGGCTCCTTCCTCTCTCTCCTAAGAGGAGCCATGGTGCGATTTTACTTTTTACTTGAGGACAAGAATTGTGTGACACCCAATCTCAAATCGTACAACCAACTCTTTGCATGCTAAGATCGCGCACAGCCAACGTGCACGCCGGAAGAGCGGGACAGCGTTAATCCATCAGTGCATTTGCGGACTGCACGGGGGTTCTTTCCGAATCCCAGGGCAGTGGCTTGGTGATGGCAAGAGGGAGCTGTGCCGTGTGGAATGTAGACCATACCACGCAGCCTGGAGGTGTCACAGATTGCTCCATGAAACACTTCTTTCCCAAGGTGTCAGACGGACCGAACTTGGATAGATAATGTGATTTCTCAGAGACGTTCTACATTGGGGAATATCTTTTCTGCATTGATAGGAAGTCAACATCCTGCGCAGCCAGATTGGAGACCGTCTCAATGTGGAGGTGGACGCTGCCCCCACCGTGGACCTGAACCGGGTGCTCAACGAGACCAGGTGTCAGTATGAGGCCCTGGTGGAGACCAACCGCAGGG